AGAGAATTATCCAAGGCACCATATCTACGGCAGTTACTGGACCAGTTTTAAGTTATCAGTATCACAGAACTCCAGGTGCTATTTGTTCAGTGTTTACCACTCAACTCCTCTGCATGGTGCTTTCCAACCTCCATCCAGTCACAGATGTTCCTTGTCTGTCTGTCATCGAAGACTATGAAGATTCCTGCTAACTGAAATAAAAAGTATACATGTGATCTCTGAATAGCTCACTTCTTACAATGTACAAATTTCTCATTCTTTCACCTTTTAACCTTGTTTTACAATAATGTAAGTGTTGGATTTGCTCCAGTTTATGTACCATCTTGTAAATCCATTTGAACAGATCACGTTTACTTCCCTGTGGAAGGAACACTGAGAACCTCTTAAAAGAAAGTCATTCGTGTGTATTCCTTAAACTGTCTGTATCAAGACGTGTTGCTTAGAGATATCCACTCACTTTATAATTTTGACTGCAAAATATTTTGTAAATACACTTTTTTACTTTTCAAACAACTGAGTAAAATAATGTGCAATGAATTTTATACAATGATTTTCACGTTGTTGGTATATCTCCTCTAGGTTTTGCTTGACTCAAAGGTAGATTTGTTACTTTGATCAAACTGTGCAAATAGTACCATGTGTAGCATTTTTTGAAACATTCTTTTCTAAAGACCGCTGTCTTGCTTTAGCTACTAATGGGGCATTGTGAGGAACTGTGCAAAGACATTTTTGTTACAAACCTGTGGGCCTGTTGCAATACTTTAAAAATAAAATAAAAAAATTTATTCCATTTTGCTTGTTTTGTATAGACATTTCTATTGCTTCTAAATATGCTTAAGATATTTTCTTTCCTTATGTACTGTACAGTTAATCTTATTTGCCATCCCTTGAACACAAATGTGTATTTAGGATATTTGTATAACTGTATAAAATGAAAAAGGAATTATGTGGTCAGTGCATTGTTTTTTAAACTGGAAATCATTTTGTTTTAAGAGTTAATAATGGAAACCAAATTGAAAATTGAATAAAATATGAAATATAGTGCTGTGACTTTTCTCTTGCCATAAGTAGAATTCTCTTCATCTGTTCTATAGGCAACATGCTAGGGTTCCTGAATTTTAATGAGGTAAACTTAGTGGGCTCACGCCTTTGAGCCATAACAAAAGCTTTGAGACCCAAAAGCATGAACATTCTTTCCTCTGTCCAAAGGGCTGGATTGAACAGAGATGTTTTCAGCACAAAAAGAAACACTTTTAAGTCTATATTTAGAAAACAACCAAAGGAGATTTAAATTTTGAGGCCTGTGACTAATAGTGACTAGTTGTTTACAAAGTTAAATTAATAGCTTATCAGAACTACATTGATTAATATGTTAAAACTTTGAATTTTTGAAGTCAAGGATAATATAACAATAGCAAAGCCAGAGGGAAAGAACTCTGAAACACTGCTCATCTCCACACACCTTACATCACTTCCTCAGACCTTCACAGCTTGTGTTCACAATTTACGTAAACTTTAAACTTTTCCATCCAAGTGTTTACCAATAGACACAGATGATTGATTACTGAGAGCAGTCATTGAAATTTCAGCAAATTCTTTTAAATAAAGGTAAATTTAGTTAGTAAATAGTATCATGGTAGCTTGAGTATTTACATTCAAACCCACTTTGTGAGTTTCTCTTTCAGTGTGGAGCCTGTGGGTGCGCCTTTCTCAGAGAGGAACACTGAGTAGCTCTAGAAAAAACAGGCACTGGTTTTTACATATGAAATGGACCGACCAGGCACCTGCAGCCTTGTGGAGAGGAACTTGTTGCTTGCTGTTGCTAAACTGATAACAGCCATCAACACCGTCAGAGACCTGAGAAGGGTAAATTTGAGCAGGAAAAGTGACAGAGACTAAGCCTCTACCTGGATGGTTACTGTATGCTCCTCTGTGATCATCTTGATGGTTTTGTTGTGGGGCAGAGGTTGCCCCCTTCGGCTGCCAGACCCACAAGGTCTGAGAGGTTTTCCTGTAGATGAGGAATGTGGGAAAACTAATCTACTTTGATAAGGCAGGATAGGACAGTCAACCCTAATGTGTTCGCAGTTGTCCAGGGCCCTGGCGGCAGGCAAGGCATGGAGCAGTTCTTCACAGTCACCAGCTTTGTCCCATTTAAAGCAAGCTCCCAGTAGAGTTCATTTGTACCCCCATCATCTTCGTTGGAGATAACCTTAGGAACTGGCATTTCTGTCAATCAAAGGAAGCCTTTTTCATTGAATATTTTAAATTCAGCAGATCTTTAAGGAGTTTGAGGGCCATCATGTACTCTATTAAGTATGCCTGATTTTTAAATAAATTTAGTTTTGAGTTACTTTTGGAGTAACTAAACATAACAATACCAGTGGTTCTCAGCCTGTGGGTCATGGCCACTCTGGGGTCACATATCAGATATTTACATTTACTTTACAATTCATAACAGAAGCAAAATTAGAGTTATGAAGTAGCAACAAAAATAAGTTTATGGTTGGGGGTCACCACAAATGAACTGTACTAAAGAGTCGCAGCGTTAAGGTTGAGAACCACTGGCGTCTACAGAAGGCAAAAGGCCCTTGTAAATGAATCCCACTTGTATTTAGCATGACTACAAGGATAGTAGTTCTTGAGCACGTCTCAGTTATCTTTAACAGTTTACAATAAGATCGTAACTTATACAATTAAGACTTTATAGTTTTATCTCTGTTAAGTTTGGGCCTTTAAAATTTGAGTTTGAGATTTAATTGACGATCCTTTAGCATCAAAATCAAGCTTTCAACACTAAATAGAGTCCACAGAGAAGCTGAGAACTTATAAAACTGTGGAATCTACTGGTCTTCCCATGTTCCCCAGCATCCTGAAACAGCTGGCCTGAAAGATAGAATGGTCTTTTGAAGACACAGTTTCACCACCAATTAGGTTGCAGCAGCCTATAGGGCTGACTGGCAGTTTTCGAATGGGTAGGTGGTATATATTTTAAATCAGCATCAAATATATAGGTTAAGGTTTCTCCCATAGCCAGGATCCATGGGTCCAGGAATCAAGGGACAGAAAGGGGAATGGTTCCACTCACTGTCACCTGTAGTGATCCACTAAGAAAATGTTTGCTTTCTATTCCCGCAACCCTAATTTTTGGCCTAGAAGTTTTGGTTCCAAAGTGGGGCACACTCCTTCCATAAGCCACAATAAATACTCCATTGAACTGCAAGCTCAGACTTGCCACTGGCCACTGTGGGCTTCTGATGTCCTTAAGCCAACAAGCCAAGAAGGGAATAACAGTGTTAGGAAGAATGATTGATTCAGATTACTATGAGGAAATTGAATTTCTTTTCCACAATGGAGGTAAGAAGGATTATGTCTGGAGTGCAGGAGATCCTTAGGGTGTCTCTTGATCCTGTGGTTAAAAATCAATGGAAAATTGTAACAGCCTGATCCAAGCAGGATGACAAAGGGCACAGACCCATCAGGAATGATGGTATGGGTCACTCCAAGAAAAGACCCAAGACCTGCAGAAGTGCTTGCAGAGGGTGGAGGAAATACAGAATGGATAGTAGAGAAAGGCAGTTCTAAATACCAGCTAAGGTCATGAGATCAGTTGCAGAAACAAAGATTATAACTGACATGAATGTTTCTGCCATATTTTGAATATTATTATAATATAACATATATTATATGTTACTAATATATATTAATATTAGGATATATATCCATGTATACATATATATATCAATATATATTATATATTCACATATATTCATTCTAGAGAACCCTAAAACAAGGCTGTACCTATAATCACTGAGACATCTACCTCAGCTATAGTTTTAAGTCTCTGAAAAGCTTGACTTGCAGGGGCATGTATATGGCAGACAACGAATCCCCAGGCTCACAAGTCTGTTCCAGCCTCTTGCCGCATTGTGGCCGAACCTATGATTTACTTCAAGCTAGGCAAAGAGGGCAAAGGAGGTAGGATGCAGTCCCCTGTACATCCATGCCACACAACTCTGGCTTCATAGGGATTCGCTGTCGTGGGAAGGGGATTTTCCTGCTTGCTTTGAATAGGCTGCCGTGTTTTAAGGGAACATAAGAGTATAGCCTGGAGAGGAACTGTGGGAGACTTTGACAAACCCACGGAAGTGACCAGTCGACGGCCAGCAGGAAACAGGAGCTTCAGTTAGCCATTACACTGCCAGCAAACAGGCGTCCCTAGAAGATATGCCCAAGTCCAATAAAGAGCATAGTCCTCCCTGACGGTGCCCCTCAGTATGCGAACAGTCAAGTCATTTCGCATTGTCAATGTTGCAAACAGCTAAATCTTGACTTCTCAGCAACAGGAAACTTGACCATTGGCTACTGTGCACCAGAAGATACTTCCTTACGAATAATTTTTTTTTCTACCTGAGCTCAGTTGTTTCCTTCCAATCTAAAAATACTTCCCATGCTATAACAATGCCTATGTTCTCATGCGGCCATTTACACTTTGGTAAGGGAAATTTCCAGTGTGGATTTTCAAATTCTGTGTCAAATTCTTATCACCGTGCCTCTCTTCCTGATGCCATCTTCCGCCCTGCAAAGTAGATGTTGAAGGTAGAGTCTGTGTTTAACAAGACTCCAGGGCCAGCTGCCGCCACCTAATGCCTAACAAGCATTCTGCAAAGTGGGGCAGAGCTCATTCCCAATGTCTAGTGAGAACAGCACAGGGCAGAAGGAACCACCACCCATTTGCCCACCCCGTTCAATGCTGTGTTAAGTAACCTGAACCAGTGTGCCCGTAGGCATATGGGAGGTCATAGGTAGTGGTCCAGAAAGGTGCTATGGGGCTGGAAAGACAGTTCAGCAGTTAAGAGAAGGATCTGGAAAGTTCTATTCCCAACATCCATATGGTGGCTGACAACATCTATAACTCCAGTTCCAGGGGATCCGACCCCTCTCTTCTGGACTTTCCCAGCACCAGGCACCCATGTTGGTACACTTACATAGATGTCATAAAAGTCACACACAGAAAAAAAAATTTAATCTTTTTTTAAAAGAAGGTGTTACATTTCACTTAATAAAAAACAAAGCACTTTAAAAAAAAGCAAGTTCTTAAAATCTGGTAAGAGATAGCAAACACATTGCAGCCAGATAGCAATTCATTGTCACTCCGCATAAAACCTGAGAAGTAAAAGCCATTTACCAAAGGATGGCCCGTTCTGTCCCGCATCCCTGACTCCCTAGGCCACCACACTATCTTCTCATCCTTAGTTTGGTTTCCAGATACTTCAAACCCCTGGAGTGGGGGACACAGGATCTCCGGTCACCAAAGAAGATAGTGACTCATTTGTAAACTAAACTTTTAGCCTGGTTTACAGTACAAATGTGATTAATACCCTAACCCAGTGGGAGTCAAATTCTAAAACAGCAAGGCCCAGCCCCAGGCTCTGTTACTGAGGGAGGCTATGGGCACCAAAGGACCCATTCACACCACTTCTGCTAACGTAGTAACTCCAAAATAGCTTCTATAATTGAACCTAAGACACTGGGAACTTAGCTCAGTGGTGGAGCACTTGCTTAGCAGGGGCAAGGCCCTGTGTTCGTTCAGTCACCCGCACTGGGAAAAAAGTAAAAGCAAAAAGAATAAAATAATTACATAAAATCAAAAGAATGTCTCCAGATCCTCTCTGAACATGATATAGAATCATATATAAAAATAACCTCTCTCTTTTAAAGTGTCAGCAAAAATACCATAATCTCTGAAATGCAGTGAACTGCTGTACTGCATGGAACACCATACCATGATTGAGGAAAAAGTGTTCTTAAGTGCATGGGAAACAAGAAGAGAATTTACTAGAACACTTAAGTGACAGTCCTTCAGCCTGAGGGAAAGGGGCGTGTTGGCAATCAACAGATGCAGCAGCGCTACCAAAGCTACCAAACGGCTTGCTAAACTGTGACTTCACAAGCCGCAGCTGAGCGCGTTCAGAAGGCTGACCAGACGTGCTGCTTCACATGACTCCTGAAATGAATGGGCTACTTTAGCAAAAATATTATACAACTTTAAAACTTACACGTTTCACCGTGCATGGTGACCCACGCCTCTAGGACAAAATTCAGGAGGGCTAATTAATAAATTCCAGGCCGGCCTGGACTATAAAGTTAAGACTCAAGAAACAAAGTAAACCCAAACCCTAACATTTGAAAATAATCTCCTTTGCATTTCTAGAATCACAGCAGACTAAATAAGCCAGACTTGTGTCAAAGCTCAACATGAAGTCAGGGAGGAAGCTAGATAATTGATCTAGAAACCATGGCCTACCGTGTTCTCATAGAAATAGTTGATCAGCAGTCCTTTCCAACTCAACCCTACACAGGGAGTAAAATGAGAAAACTATCTCTGTTTCCAAAGTCGGCTCTTTCATGTGACCGTTCTCCACAAGCCCCCGGCAGAATACAAACGTAAGATCGTTTGCTCAGCCCAGTAGCTCCACTGTCCTACCATGTAACTACCGGCGCGCTACCCGGCTCTACACACGGAAATGCCTTCTGAGTGGTGGAGGCCAGGAAACGGTCTCCTGGCAAGAGCCATGGTGTACCGAGGACTCTTGAGGCGCCTACAGCAAGCACCTCAAATCGTTTCAGCGCTTGCTGTGAACGCACACAAACTTCCATCGCCAAAGAACTCTGAAAGCCCGCTCTGAGCGGTGCCCTCAGGAGTGGCCATTACGTAAGTTACGATGAAGCCGTTCAGAAAGTCACCTCTGTCTGTCAGTCCCTCTTCTCCTGGTGGCGCACAAGAGAACTGCTGCTGTTGACTGAAAAGTACCCATCTGAGAGGTACTGACCGGAAGCCTCAGGGGTGGGCTCCATCAGGACCTTTCTAGATGGGTCCCTTAGAGACTCCCTCATTGGGTCACTCGTTTCAACCACTTCAAAATCCATTTCGTTCCATTTTTCTGCATCGTCCTCTTCATTCTCTTCGTCACAGTCATTGAGCTCAGAGCTGGAAAGCAAAGCTCTCTGGTCTTCACTCTTCCTGCCTTTGCGCTGGTGTTCCAGGGGTAAGGTGGCCAATTTATACATCACAGGAAAAAGAACTCCAGTGAAGAGGGCTGACCCCAGACCCGTGTACAGAACCACTGGCAGATCTGGGTAGAGTCCCTGAAGAATTCCGATGACTGCAGGAATCGCCATTTCCCCCAGAGCAGCACCAATCACAAAGAATGCTGCAGACTTCCCAGTTAAGGTGGTGTACTGCTCAATCCAGGAAATGCCACTGGGAAATGTGGCTGCCATCGAGGCTCCATACACAGCAGTCGAGATCCAGAGGCAGAGGGGGCTCTTGTCAAAAAGCACTAGAAACAAAGATGAAGCAAGGCTGCCAATGTTGCACAACACAATCATGGTTCCAGGCTGTAAGAATGTTGCAAAGAAGATGGCCAGGCCCCTGCAGGCTGCGAAGGCCCCCCAGAAGACGGAGTTCAAACCGGCTGCTTCAGTTTCTTTCATGCCAACATGGGTGGTGGCAAAGGAAAATACATAAGAGCCATAGGTCACCTCGGCTCCAACATAAAAGAAGAAGAAGATGAAGAGGAGACAAAGCAAGGCCCTGTGATACTTCGCTCTTCGAGCTTCCTGGGCAGATATTGTAGCTTTTTCCTGCCTTGAGCGTTTCTTACAAAACAGACCAAACAGAAAGACAGAAACTACTAGGACATAGGTGCCGATGGAAGCGTACGTCCACAGCAGATTCATGTCCTCGGGTACCGCAAACAGAGAGTCTGGGCTGGCTTCAGAGGATCGGTTCAGCATTAGAGGGTCTAAGTCAGACTCTGTGAGGTTCTGAGTGGATGCTGTTGTACCCCAGGCCAATTTAGCCAGCAGGGGAGCCAGGAAGGCACCCAAGGCAAAACTGAAGTGCAAGGCCTGCATGTGTGGGGCTCCTTTGTCTCCCCAAAGATCCAAGATGAGGACGTTCCCACCTGCCAACAAAAGAAATTCTCTAAATTAACAATCATTTAATAAGAACACTACATCACTATTTAAAAAATGCAGGGTATGTCGGGGGGGGGCACTGGTCCCACCCAGAGTCAACGTGCTGATACAAAGCCTGCTGTAAGTAAGGCAAAGCTATATTTGAGAGCTCTGACCCTCTATCACCAGCAGACTGTATCACAGCATCTCTTCTTAACACACAGAATCTACGAGCTGGGAAACCACTACCCACTAGGGCCAGGCACATTAGCAAAGGTGTTCTATAAAATGTGCTAGCAGCACACCAGGGGGTACATAGATATAACACCCCTACCTATTTACAAGAGAGAGAGATTGATGTCAGTATCAGATAGTAGCCAAATCAGCAAAGCTTTCTATTCTTGCACCTGGCAGCCACGGTCACGGAAGTCCATACCCAGGGTCGGGACATACATCACAGCCCCTAGCACAGCTCTCCGCCCCTGCACTGTCCTGCTGGACAGCCTATGAGGTGACAACCGGAAGCATCAAGTCTCTGGCTCTCTTTTTAACTTTCAGATAAGCATACATTTCACTCCATAGTTTTACAACCAAATGGAACCTAATGTATGCAATAGTCCCACAATCTGTCCAACAACCTGAGAGCAGGGAGGAAAGGAAAGCAAACGTCACGTTACCCCAGGAAGAGGGTCAGCTGGTGGCTTCTTAGAGTAAAGGACCAGATGCTATCTGTACTACACCTACCTAAAGGAGGGGCATCCTTCCATGTTTGGATATCCTAAATCCCCTCTTGCTCACTGAGAAAACATCATTGATGTTTATTTCATAGGCAAATGCTCAGAAGATGTCCTAATGTCGCTGCTAGGTGAGTGGCTCTGACCAGGGGCTGTGGCCCCAGCCTGACATTCCAAACGACAATGGAACATCACCTGCCTTCCTTTTCCTAGCAGTAGTGTCCCCGGCAGTGCAGATAACAATACGGGATTCACTAACCTGTATCCAGAATGCCCATAGAAATACCGAAGACAGACATCATGACAACCAGCAAGACTGCTGTCCTGCAGAATGGAGTAAGATATAGACCAACTGTGGTAGCAGAAAGTGACACCCCTAAAAAGAAAGATTAAGAGCTCAGCCAAAACAGCTCTGCTTTTGGTCACAAAATATCTACTTATTCATCAGCAATAAAGTACTTTTGTGTCCATAGGAGTTTTAATGTATCAACTGAATTGTCTTTAGTCATGCCAACTTATTGAAAAAGGCATGCTAACAGCTCTGCCCTCTCTTCCAGGGTCAGGATCTGAGAGCATCCACCTGTGCTCAACTCTGACAAGGGCAATAGGCCTGAAGTGCAGGCTACACCATCTCCCTGTTCCTTCATCTTCAACCCCAAGTCCACAGAGCCTGGCCAGGTTCCAGGAGTTATTCCGACCCCCATGGCCCCAGAGTCCTGCCATACCCCCCAGATAAGCAGAGCTTCAAGGTCAGCCAGTGTGTCAGCCTGGAGCAGAGCCTGCAGTAAAAGCCAGCATTGCTCAGGGTTCCCAACACTCGCTCCCAAGGGCCAATCAAGTACAGACTCCCTCCTGCAGCCAAAGCGGAAAGAGGAACTCGGCTCCAGCTGCCAGGTGGGTGCCAGCCCAGTGCCCGTTACAGGTATCAACAATCTTCCATATTCAGATCTTAGTTGTAAAGTTGTTGACAGAAACAAGGAAGTGAAAAAGCAGTGTTTGCTTACCCAAGAGTAAAAAGTGATTAATGCACCCAAAAAGAAGTCCTCCGATCATAGAGCCACCTAAGTATCCTGAGGCCCGGCCCACAAAGATGAAAGACAGGCTGCTGATGTTCCGGTTCACATTTCTTGCCAAATCTGGAAAGGTGGGTCCCAGTATAGCAACACTCAGTCCCTACAGTTAAAAAGAAGAGCTTTACTCATCGCTGAAACACTGCCCAAGAAGCAGCTTTTGGAAGGAAACAGAACCACAGGGGGGAGGTTACAATCTACCACAAGGGCCCTGACAGTAAGTCAAACCTAAGGAAACACATTAGCAGTAGAGCTGAACACCCCCCAACGGCTTTTTATTCGAAACCCTTGATATTTTTTAAAGTTTTTGCTTTGTTTTGGAGACCCTAACATCATAGTCTTTCTGTCTCAGTCTCCAAATGTTGGTACTACCGGTGTGTTCCAACACACATAACTTTAAAAAAAAGCTATTTTTCTTTTGTTTCAACTGTTCAATATTGAACAATACCCTAAAAGACCATTATGTATTAATAGTTAATGTGTAACAAACTAAGGGCTAAGGAGATGGCTCAGTCAGTGACGTGCCTGCTGCACCAACATGAGGGCCTAGGTTTGGAACTCCATCATACACACATAAAAAGAACAGTGCGTTAAATGGGGTTCTTATTTCTATAATGAAATACCATGACTGGCAAGCAAGTTGGGGGGGAAAGGGCATAAGATTTACACCCCCATACTGTAGTCCATCACCGAAAGAAGTCAGCAGAGCACAGGACAAGAACCTGGGGGCAGGAGCTGATGCAGTGGCCATGGAGGGTGCTACTTACTGGCTTTCTCCTCATGGCTTGCTCAGCTTACCTTCTTCTAGAACTCAGGACTCCCTGTCACCTTGACATATAAATACATCACTATTAAACCATAACCTTTCCTGTCTTGTTCATCCCAAAGGTCACACATTAACATCAACATCACAATGTAAAGCATTTTATAACGTTTAAAAGTTCCATAGTCTTTACAAATTCAAACACTTTAAAACTGAATCTTTAAAAAAAATTCAAAGTCTTTTTTAAAGCCCTAAAGCTCTTTAAAAATTCAGTCTCTCAAATGTGAACTCCTGCAAAATCAAAATCTTACTTCAGGAAGGAAGAACCAGGGCACAGACACAGTTGGGGAGGAAAGGGTTACAATTTCACATTGTAGTCCATCATTGGAGGTGGTCAGGGCACGATCTCAAACAAGACAGGAACCTAGAGGCAGGAGCTGATGCAGAGGCCACGGAGGGGTGCTGCTTACTGGCCTGCTCAGCTTACCTTCTTATAGAACTCAGGACCACCAGCCAGGGATGGCACCACCCACAATGGACTGGGCCCTCCCCCATCAACCACTAATTAAGAAAATGCCTTACAGCCGGATTATGAAGGTGTTTTCTCAACTGAGGTTCCTTCCTTTCAGAGAACTCTAAACTAGCTAGCACACACAGGCACAGCAGCGTGTCTAGAATCCCGGCAACCCCTGTGGCTCGCTAGCTAGTCTGGCTGAGCTGGTACGCTTCGGGCTCAATGAGAGACCCTGTCAAAGAATAAGGAGGACAGCAGTTGAGGAACCACCTCTGGCCTCTACACACAAACCCTACGAACCAAAATAAAAATAATACAATGAACTACTTTTAAAATATATTCTTATATTTTCAAATACACTATATGCTTAAGTATAGAAATTTAATTGCTAGAATTTTAAATTATGAAACACCAAATTATTATTCTTTTACATTAAGATGCCAATATTTCTGGCACACATGGAGTCCTTCCTTTAAATTGTTTATGCATATATCTATACCTAATATGGCCGATAAGCAATTTGAATGTTCCTATGTCTACAGTTTTCCTCAAATTCCAAAGCCACGGGGAAATATATGGACTATAAGACTTTCTTAGCAAAAATACACATAACATGGACAGAATGATTTTTACAATAAGATGTTATACAATGTACTAGCAATAACTAAGGGTTATGCCTCCATTTCAGTTGAAATTTCCAAGAACCTTTAAGGAAAATATTTCTAAGACGTGTGAATTTTAAGAACCACAGATTGTGGGCAGAGGATATAGCTGAGGAAAAGCCTGGCATACTTGAAGCCCTTGGGTCAATCCCCAGTCTGCATATTAATAAATTTTAAAAAATGGTTGTGTTGCGCTGTTCTGCTATAAACCAAGAGAGTATTCCCTACCCAAGCAGCAGCAAGCAAGGGCTAAAGACCAGGTACCTATGGGTCTGCGGCACGTGCAGGTTCTCATCAAACTTCTTCAAAGTACTCCCAAGTCCTGGCACACAGTGAGGGTCTCTATCACCTTCTTCCTTCCCTGCATCCCATCGAAGTCTTAAGACAACTGAGACTCAGACTGAGATGCCAAGTGATGGGAAGTGACTCTCGTCAAAGGCTTAGCCCTCATAACACTCAAATCAGAAATTATCAAGTTTAGGCCGGTGGTCCGTCCACAGCTTCAAGTCCAGCACTCAGAGGCAGCGGCGGGTGGATCTCTATGAATTCGAGGCCATCCTGATCTACACGGTGAGTTCCAGAGTAGCCAAGGCTACATAGTGAGACCCTCTGTCTGCAAGTTAGAGGCCAATTGGGTCTACATAACAAGTTCCAAGCCAAGCAGCTGGAGCTACAGAAAGAGATGCTGTCTTTAAACGTGTTTCTGTTCTTGCATGTGAATGAAGAAAATCATTTAAGGATCTGAAGGCTTGATTTAAACAGGGCTGTGAACAGGATAAGAAACAGGTCCTTAATGCTATCATTTAACCAAAGAAGCCACTTTCTTCTCTGAGTTTATTTTCCCATCCGCAAAATAAAGCGGTTGGCAGGCTTAGGTCAGGGCTCCGGGAAGAGGCAATCTCTCAAAGCTTTTCTGTGGTCAATTTGGAGCTTCGGTGGGTGGGAGCAAAAGATAGTTGGTAAAAGCCCGGGCTCCTCTCCTATATCCCCCCTTTGCCCCAGGAAAGTTGGTTTGCTCATGATGGAAAACGTATTTTTAAATGAGTCTGACAACAACCCTCCACCATTAGAGTTCTGCCCACTTTTTCCAGATGACAAAACTGAGACCCAAGGTATTAACCAAGGCACCCAAAGGTCTCGCAAGGCACGGGGCACTGAGGAGACCACGTTCCCTGCAGGACGCTTGCTCCAGCCTTGGCCAGAGAGGGTTTCGAACCCAGCTCTCACCAGCCCCAGGAAAGCGGCACACAGCACCCCGGTGGTGAACCAGCGCAGCACGTTCTCGGCGCGGCTTTTCCGCCCAGAGGCCACAGCTTCGGACTCATTCTCAGGCCCCGGATCGACCCGGAGGAGCCGCTGCCCTCCGGGCTCACGGAACTCCAGCTCCAACTCCAGCGTGGCGGCTCCACAACGTTCTCTACCTGCCGAGCTCCGTGCGCCCCAGCCTCAGGCGTGCAGGGCTGTTCCCGGCCCAGCCCACGAGCCCCAGAGTCTCCCGGGGTGACAACCCCGGGACCAGCCCAAGGAAGCGTGACACCCGAGCGGAGCCTTTCCACCCAGCAGGTGAGGCTCCAGGGCATTGCCCTCCGGATCGCAGGGCGCCTGCGCGGATCACGTTGCGGAAATGAGGCTTTTAGTCAACCAGGAGCTGTCTTCAAACCGGAAGTTAAGCTGGTTGCCTTGGGGATCGGATTTCCTGGACCAGCTGAGTTGTCATAGTAAACTGAGCCCGGGAGTTTTGCGCCTGGGGCACACTAGGCAGAAGAAGCAAGATTTGCAGCCTGGCACAAGACGAACCAAAGGGTAAGAAGTCACAAAACTTAGGAAGAAAACCCGCCTAGAACTACAAGGTGGTAACTTCCTCAGACTTCGGGATCACCTGGAAACCCGAAGGGTTTATTGCACTCTGGTCTTTACACGCTTTCCAAAACCTTTGCCCTTGCTTCTTGAACGTACGAGATTGCTCAAAGGCAGCTTCTTACTCCACAGCTATTGACTCTCACGTGTAAACTCACACATTAAGTATCTGTTAATTTACAAAATACTCAGAATCCCACGTGATCCCGTCAAAGAATAGGAATCTTAAGAGTCACAATTCACCAAAGGCCAGACAACAAACCACTGGCCTTTCCTGAAGAGTCAAACAATAGCTCAGGAAAGAAATCCGGGTCAAAACGAGCTGCAAGCACTTGCCCGCCCTAGTTCTTGCAGACAGTTTTATTGTTATGAGTGGAGCTGGGTGTTTGTTTGCCAAGTGGCTATGCCAACTGAAAAAGAAAGATCATGTCTGTACATGACTACAGATTTGGTTCTTGTTTAAACACAGGGACCACGGCCTCAAATGCTACAATACTATTCTGTGTCTGAAATTCTTGTCTACTTATATGTCTGTCTCCAATACCCACTCCCACTTAGACTCAAGCTACTACAAAATTTAGTCTTGTCGTTACCTGTAAAGCAACATTCCAGCTTCATTTATATGGTCATTAACTTCTTCCCTATTTGTTTCAGAAATATCTCTTAAATTGGTTTCTAGCTCCTCTCCAGTCCAACTATCTTAATGCTTGTTTTCATTTCTCACGTAGAATATGTGAGGAAGGGAGGAAGTGGAAATTTTGATTGGTATTATTTGTAAAGTAATAATTAAAAATATTTCAAAAGTTTTCTGATTAGGCTTCAAAAGTGTGTTTTGAAATTTTCAGTGGGACACTGAAATTTAGAACACAAAAATGATTAAATAACGGCATTTTAAGATGTGAATTATTCTGCATGCTACAATACCAACACACTGGGCAAGATGCCCGCTCAGGTTCAATAGTGACGTTGCTACTAGCCACTTTCTGCTTGGTTTTGAGGCCTCCTCCACAGGAGAGAATTCTTGTCTGGTCCTGTAAATCTCTTCAGAAGATCATGGCTGGGAAGATCACAGGATCAGGAAGGAACTTCTGTTTTGCTAAGTAGATGTGTTTTCAAACTTCTTTCTAAAGACTTGTACTTGTACCCATATACAAGTGTTCCTCTTGGCCTTGGTCAGAGAATTTTGGTTTTGCAGTAGGCAGCAGTCAGTGCAAAGACGGATAACTGGTCAAAGGGCTGAGCATGAGATTGTTGAGCACTCAGTCCTAAATGGTGCATAGTGACGCCTTCCCTCCAGTGCTCAGGGGACACTGAAGAAGCGAGGGTTCAAATGACCCTTTCAGTTAAGGAGAATGCCTCTGTGCCCCCTGAAGTGGAGTACTCATTTGTGTTTGAGGCAAATAGGACATGTTGAGTACGCCTGTAAGCTATTGTTGGGGAGGGCTGTTGTGGGATATTCTGATTGTACTCTGACACTCCCGAGACTGCCCAGGAAAGTTGTACCTTGAATCGGGGACAGAGACAGTAAATAGCTAGCTGATGGAATTGGCCACGGAGAAGCCTGCAATTGGATAGAGAAGACACCCAGGAATGAAAAGATGGGTGGGTACTGAAGTTTGAGATCTCTTGGTTTTGGGATGAGGGAAGAGGCATGTCTCTTGTGGTGTCTCCAGTCAAAAAACAAGGTCAGCTAGTCGCTACTCAGCCTCTCTGAGCTAGAAGGTTTTCACCCCAGTCTTTGACTCTTAAGTCTTATTGATAAATAAAATGATAGAGACTTAATTTAAACTACATATCATGGTCAGGGGGCCAGAAGCCCCATACTGTGGCCTAAGTGGCCAGTGGAGTGCTGACCTAGGGGCCGTGGGGCAGCAGATGATAATTAAAATTTCATTAGATTCATGTGCAGTCACTAAGTCATCAGAAAAGCATCAGGAGGCTTCCAAAAATATTGCTTACCCCAAGAGATCATTTTCCTTGGGGTCCAGAGACTTAAATTGTGTATGTGTTCCATAAGAGGCAACTGGGCACTTAGGGGTATTATAGGCTTTCTCTTTGGATCCACCCAGAAAGTACTCTGGGGGTTGAGATTGTCACCCTTCTCTTGCCAGGTGTCCCTTTGTTTGTGGCATCATCTGTTGAGCCTGAAAGAGGAGGTCAGAGATAGAGTTGTCATCATGAACAAGACAGACTCAGCACTGCAGTTCCACGGAGTTCTTGGTGCCCCTCTGCCACTGGTATTGTTACTCTCTGTTTCTGCTGCATTTGTTTTAGAGTGTCCTAAGTTTTAGTGGTGGCTGCTTGGGCAAATCGGTAACATTCAGTGATTCTGAGACCTGTTAACTATTTCAAATGGGCTGGCCAGAGGCAGTCAGAAATCCTCTTTGTCTCCACAGCATGCCATTAACGCTGCACCACTCCAAATGGATAGCAACTGTCTGTATGACTGTTGGCTGTTTTGTGTTCTGCCAAATGGCGTGCTCTGGTTAAAACTCTGGTTCAGCCCTCTGAGCAGATGGAATGCCAGGCAAATGAGCACGTGCACTTATGTTAAGACGGGTAGTTTAACTACATATCCTTCCTGAGAATGCCCTGCCTGTCTCATAAATAAAAGCTGTCAGTAAATACAACCAAGGAGACTGCCGTTTCTCCTATGTGAAGGAAACAAAAATAACTGTTAGGAGCAAAAGGACACCAAAGAAAAGGTACTGTAAAACCTACCACTGAAAAAGATTCTCTAGTTAGAGAAACTCTGAGTAACAAAGTGTGGGGATTAGGTACCACTGGATTGCAAGGACGACTGTTCAGCTTATGGCCTAGAGATTTTGCACAAATATCTATCGTCTTCCATTTTGCTTCTTTGTAGGTAATATTGGGGTGGTGTGAGGGCTGGTGCATGGTATTATGAATCCATTTTCTTGATAGTCTTCTACGATGGTTTGATTTCCTCTCAGGATTCTTGCCTCAAATTGTATTTATGTTTTTATTCTAGGCAAGGCTTGCTTTTATCTATTGTTATCTCAACTGGGGCAACTGATCTTAGTCATCCTACATCTGGTTTTCGTTCTTTTGTTTGTTTGTTTGTTTTTTCAAGACATGGTTTCTCTGTATAGCCCTGGCTGTCCTGAAACTCACTCTGTAGACCAGGCTGGTCTCAAATTCACAGAGATCCACCTGCCTCTGCCTCCTGAGTACTGGGATTAAAGGCCACCATCACCTAGCACCATCTGTTTTTGTTATTGTTTTTGAGGGCTTTTTTTTTTGCACAAATTCTCCTTGTGAAAAGGAGGCTGTCAGTTTTCTCCCCTTATTTGACCCTTTCACGAGTTGCATGGAGAAAATTTTTGGACTGGGGCTTCTCAGTGTCTCCAAGTTAATGATACTATTCCCTTTTGGAGATGGATATGTGAACATTTTGTTTCCAATGAGTCATATTCTAACAACTGGACAGGGGCACAGTTTACCAGGAGGAAGAAGTGTTGCCTAGTTTCTCCCAATATAAATTTTGTATGTGTGGTGGTTTGAATGAAAATGGCTCCTGAGGGCTCACAGGGAGTGGTACTATCTGAAAGGATTCGTGTATGTGGCCTTGTTGAAGGAAGTGTCTCACTGGGGGTGAGCTAGGGGGTTTCGGTTGTTCAAGCCAGGCCCAATGCTCTCTCTCTTCCTGCTGCCTGCTGCCATGGATGTAGAACTCTCAGCTCCTCCTGTTCCATGTCTCTGTATGCCACCATGCTCACCATCATGAGGATAATGGACTACATCTCTAAAACTGTAAGCCAGCCCCAATTAAATGCTTTCTTTTTATAAGAGTTGCAATGGTCGTGGTGTCTAAAACACTAAGATAATAGGATTTGACTTAAAGGCAGCATGAGTAAATTGGAATTTCCCACCATTTGAATTTTATTTTTATTCTGGGGGAGATTTTAAACATGGTGGGACGTAAAACAGAGTAGCTCAAGTTTCTGCTGGGGGTCTTTGTTTCCTGTTGGTTAATAATTATCTCTATTTCTCCTAACATATTAGTAGTGGAAAACTCCCTTATTCCCCAGAGCAGTCCTGTTATTGTCTGCCTTTTCTTCTTTCAAAGTTTCTTTCGGAGGGCTGCCCCTGTGAGAGAACACCTATTTTACTTGCAGTCTCTTTTGTCTTTTTTCAAGATGGAATGAATTAGGTTTTTTTCCCTGTGAGCTTAACTGTTCTTGTAAGCTAATAATCTGAATCGTGCTGCCTTTTCCCTTTTTATAATAGTTCTAGAAATTGCTAAAGTATCAAGGTCTGATGTGGGAGGTGGCGTATGCTGTGATTTGTTTTATTGCCATTGGTTAATAAAGAAGCTGCTTTCGGCCAATGGCTTAACAGAG